TATTAAAGTTTGTTTACAAACTTATTTTTACCTCCTACCGCACACATTTTTTTTTTTTTGTAATTTCAATTGTAATATTTATCGTTGATTAATTTATATTTTATGTGTGTGTAGTAAAAAACAATAAAACAAATATATATATATATATATATATATATATATACATACATATATATATATATATATTAAAAATTCATATTTGAAAAGCCATTTTGACATGTGTATGTTACCATGATGTTTAAGACAGTGATGGCAAATGTCTTCAACACAGGCCTTGCATTAATAGCAACGTCCATGCACCAAAATTTTATCGTCGTCATTGGATACTGAGTTATCAACGCTTACCGCTAATTACAGCACGTATAGGACCAGAGAAAAACAGTATCTAGCAATAAATTTATCTTGCGCTATGCATTGTTATAACGCGCTCACCGCCTTCAATCCCTACCCGAGGAACATGGCTCAGAGTTTCCGTTTTTGTCTTCACTTTATTTAAAAAATATTCATCAAATTATTACTATTTTTTATTTAATTATTAAAAAAATATATATAATTTTTTTCGCGTGGGTCAGACTAAATGGCCGGCCCCGCGGCCGCCTATTAAAAACCAGGGCTCTATACTTTCATACGTGCGGCGTGTGCGTTCGCCGAGAAAACTTATTGCGGGCCAAATAACACACTGCAAGGTATGCGAGACTGATCGGGAAGCAAGAGAGAGGGTTGGCTTATGCTAGGGCCTAGAAAAAAATGAAATGTTATTACAATATCTCTGGCCTAGACAATAACATTTGCTTTAGGACATATATAGAACTGCTTTGGCATGATTCCAGTTAATGTCCATTCATTATAGCTCTTTAATTCCTGCAAACCGTGAGGAATATGCTTTTCGAATCTACAAGCAAATCTCGCGAAACTGGCACGCGAGTCTCTCTCTTCCGGCAACGCAATTGAACTCAGCTATGATTGAACTAACAGATCACCTGCCTTCACCTAACAATTGACTTCTACACGTATCACAACAATGAGACAACCCATTGAGGCATAGAGAACAGTAGCGGATCTAAAGGGGGTGAAAAGGATGGCTAGCCACCCCCCACTCGATTACCGTAAAACACTTGTATTCTGTGTTTGCTTCTCGTGTATAGGCCTAGCTGCATGTTACGTGCTATTCGGGAAACATACACTTTATATTTTAAGATTAACTTAATTCTTGTAAGATGTCATCTAAAAGCGTCTAGTCGTCTACTAATTCCAAAGAAAAATTCAATGGAAGGGACTCCCCCTCCCAAAACCACCCCACCTCCCCAACAATCCGCCACTGGAGAAGACCTATCACACAGCCATTTAGCCCTACTCAATACTACCTACACGTCTCAAAGCCAATTTAAACGAAAATAAGCACTTGCCACCATTGAAATTGGTTACTACAGTGATATTATGTTATAGGATACAGTAATACCATTTAACGCTAATTAATTACAATCATATTAAACACGGGTTGACTTATAAATTTTACTTTGATAAAGTCATTAAGTATATTATGACTTCTAGGTTTAAGGTAACTGTGAGGGGGGCACTAGCTGGTGGACTTGTACGTTAGGTTGTACACAGTTAATGCCATAAAGTTAACGACCTATAGATAATGTGATGAGAGAGGACGGTAACGGGTGCACTAAAGTCATAACATTTGTGACAGCATGGAAAGAATTCTGTCGTCTAGCAAGCAAGTCATAGGTTTATGATATAATTTAAGGTACCTGTAAGAGGGTGGTGACAGAGGAAATTGTAGATTGTACACTGTAATAATGTCATAAAGTTACGATTTTAAATTTTGCATATTATGAGAGGGCATTAAATTAGCTAAATTCAATTTTAAAGGCATACTATAGTTATCACTGTACTACCAACAGACCTCCAAAGTAAACTAATTAAAACTATAAGTACTTGCTACTAATTGAATTGAAATAATTGGTTAACAACGATAAAATTCTATAGTGTAATATAAACGCTAATTGATAACAGAATCCACGCTTCGAAAGTAAACTAATTAAAACGATAAGAACTCGCCACTTAATTTAATTGAAATAATTTTTTGAAAACGATATTAATATCATAAACGCTAATTGATAACATAATAATATTAAGACACAGTACTAATGTAAGGATAGACTAACGAATTTTAGTGTGGAGAAACACATTAAGTGGCATCAACCACATAAAACTCGTTAGTAAGTGATAAGAATGAACCCACTCAACCAAATCTTGAAAAAAAAATTATATACTATATACAAATAAAAAAAAAATTATATACTATATATAATAAAAAAAATTGAAATTATATAAACGTTTAATTTCAAGATACAAAATTTGTACTTTACCGCTATCGCGTCTTCACATTTTGCGCGCGTGTTACGGCCGTCCCTGTGTATAGAACATTCAACACGCAGTCACTTGGAAACGAAGCTTTGTTTCGAATAATATAGTACGCGCTCTAGACATCTGAGAACGAAAAACTTATACGTTAAAAAAAGAATGCAAAGTAAGATGGATAGGGTACTCGTTAGACTACAATTTTTCCCTCACATGAAAACAACATGACACTTCAGTTACTGTAAGGGGTAAACGAAGAAAGAATGGGTGATGACGATCACGATCATGGGGATTTGTACTGTGGAAACGCTTCAAATCTGTCAGATCATTTTACAGGCGACGGTCATCCACACACTCTCCACCATCCCCATCCGACACCATATGGAATACTATTTCTGTTTGCATGCTGTGCCCTGGGAGGTAAGACTTAACCCATTCAGTCCCACCTTTTCAAATTTCATTTTTGTAAGTGTTAGATATACTCTCATTTGTAGCATAATGTTAAATAAATTCATCTGGTTCAAAGTTAAAAATTTTCGAGTTTTTTACATTCATGAGGAACCAAAAAAACGTAGGCTAGGCCTAGGCCTAGATAACAATTTTACCTGTAACGTTTCATCAATTATCAGACCATTATTATACTACCAAAGGCTTCAGTCAGAAAAAAAAAAGTTACAGGTAAACTGTTATCTACGTTTTTTGGGTCAAAATAAAACTTAAAAACTCGAACAATTTTTAGAATACCATAGGGCATAGGCCTACTTACTATGCCTAACGTAGGTCTACTAATTTCCTAAGGGGTGGAGTGGAACTCTAGGGCCTAGGCCTATTCAAGATAAATAAACACCATTATATGGATATTCTTCCATCGACGTGCTGCAGTCCATTTGAACTGAAAGATTGAAGTTTAAAAAGGTTATGGTAAAGCCAGATTTATGTAAGGTTGTAACAATATCCACAGCCAATAAACATTTATTTCTTTAAAATCAAACAGTCTAACAGTAAAATCAAGATGTTGAGAAATATTTTTAAAAAGGCCTAAAGATCATAAATAGGCAAAAAATGAAGGGAAAAAACCCATTAAATTAAACGGATTTGATTACATCAAAGAACTTAAATAACAGAAGAATGAATTGTTCCTCGTATTTGCATTAAAATTGATGGAACATCCGCCCTCCAGCGAGCGGGGTAAAATTTGACCATTTGACTAAGTGGAGAAACTACAGAAATCAAGCGAACCACCCTGAGTGGCGCGCGATTTTTTTTTTCCGTACGAAACATTTACATGAAACTCCACTCGGGCCGTCACGACTGAACCGACTCGGGCCGAATATCTCATATTGCAGAATTCAGGAGGTCAAAAGGTCATCAACAGATAAACGTCTACAAAATGTAAAACAACTTCTGAGAGAACGTCGCTGTCTGATTTTAAAAAAATATGTTACCATGCTAATACTAATGGGTCATTTAAAATGACATATAATATTTGATTGAGCTGCACGAGTAATGGAAAGTGTTATTTGAACTTGAGTTAAATACTGTGACAATTTTATTTATTTATTTTTTTTAGTTAGATCTGGGTTTTGCATATTTACCTAGGCCTACTAACTACTAAAAATATACGCTTTCAGGGGAAAGTACAAAGAGGAAGGAATAGCGCGTTGCTTTATCAAATGAAACAGGGTGACAGTTATTTTCAAATTAAGAGAAGAGCTGAGAATAGGCAACTCTAAATACTGGATGCCAAAGACCTGCCAAAATGGCAGAGCACCAATGAATGTATAAATGAGGCCTAAGCCTAGTTATATGGTAAATAGTATCTGCGGGTTCTTGATTACAAGGCTAGATCAAGTTAATTAATGCCGAAATGATTATTATTTATTATTATTATTATTATTAATGATTATGTTATTAAAACCTACCTTAGGAACTTAGACAATGCAGAAATTAGAGAACATTAAAAAAAAATGATGTTTAAGGGGATCAATAGCACAAAAGATATTCCCTTGGGCTAGTTATTAATTATAGGCCTAGTAAATAGGTTATTGATTACAAGGCTTAGGCCAAGGTAATAATGCTGAAATGATTATATTATTATTATTATTATTATTATTATTATTATTATTATTATTTAACATATTATTATTATTATTATTATTATTATTATTATTATTATTATTTAACATTAATTACATTACAAGGATAGTTTGGCCAAGTTCAATAACGCCGGAATGATTTTATTTATTACGGTATTATTTAATAATATTTCTCTTATGCACTCTATTTTTTATTTCATACTTCAATTTTTTCCCCTTTTTTTCAAAATTTCAATCAACGTCATGTGAAGCGTGACTGTTGGTGTCAGCCTAGGACCCTAGCCTAGGGACCTAGGCCTAGTTTAGGGAGGGCCTGGTAGGTAGGACTTAACTCAACCTGCTTTAGGCCTGTAGTTTATCTTCTTTCTGTCAGCCTTTGGTGTACGTCCTATCTATTATAAAGGTGGGTACTAGCTGTTGTTGTTGTAGATATTATACTAACATTTAATAACATACAAGAAGGTCACAGTTAGTTAAACACGTACATCCTATAAATCCGTAAGACTTCATAGGCCTACCGTAGGTAAACATAGAAAGAGCAATAAAAGTAAAACTCGAGCGTCACGACATTGCGAAGTGTCTGCTCTTGTTCCTCGTATCGAATTCGAGTCGAGTCAATCCGAGATGGCCCGAGTGAAGTTTCATGCAAATGTTTCGTACGGAAAAAAAATCGCGAGCGGCGCCTTTATTATATATATATATCAGAGCCATAGATAGAAAGAGTTGCGACATTGAGAATTTAGAAGCCATTTTGTGTCATACGCGATGCGCGTTCTGTGTCTAACGTATGTGCGTTCCTGTGTATAATATTGTATAATAGTTTAATTTCATTTAATCTTTTTAGCAGTCGAATTTCATGTAACTATTTATAGATTTTTTTAATGATTTCACTACTTTATATCCAATTTCA